TTTATATGAAGAGAACACAATACTGATATATTGTTTGTTAATTCCTTAAAATTTATTTATAAATACATTCATTTATCCACTCATAAGCATTTTTGAGAACCTCTTTTATACAAGGTTCTGTTTGGATCCAACAGAAGCAGAGATGATCAATGTAATGTCCTTTTCCTCAAGAAGAGTTCAATATATTGGTGGGAAAAGGAACATAGAGTGAAACATGTGTTGAGTGTGTATATGTAGGTGTGCTCACTTACCCTGATGGGTAGGCATGCTGATTCTCAGGGTATGAGTTATAGACCACCTTCAGATCTGTGAATGTGGTGTTGTCATTGGGATAAATATATCAACATGCTTGTTTCATGAACTAGAGCCACTTTCAATCATTGTGTCCTGAAAGCATACAGCTCAGCTTTATTTTTAAATTCCTCCTGTATGTCTCACAGGTTCTGTTGATACACTATTTTCTTTGTGGAGTTATGGTCCATTTGTTTCTCTTAAGAAGAATTATTCCTAACCCTACCTTCATTGCTATCATATCATTGAAATAATAGATAACTACAAAGGATTGTTGTAAGAATTAAAGGAGTTAACATAAATTGCTCCGAATGGCCTAGCATATGGTTAGTGATACATTAATTATCACTGTTAAATCTTCTTCACTGTTATCTCAGACTTTCTGTGTTACATAGAATCAGAAGGCTGCCGGTCAAACCTAATATCATGTACAGGAATTTTCTCTGAGATCCATTAAAGCTTCCTATGCTTGTATTACCCTCTAACGTGGGACCTTTCTACTTCCCCTTCAGTGAATTCAGAGACTTCTAAAGAGTCTCTACTTTATTCTGAGCTAAAACCCACCTTCCTGTGATGTCTATCATTTATCTTCAGTATGTCTTTTTTTCCTTTTATCACTGCTTTTATAATAAGTAAGTATTGTTTGAAATTTCTCTGTACCATTTCTAGAAAGAAAGAGAGGGAAAAGGTGACACTATTCTTGTCTTCAAGAAGCCTACCTTCTCTTTGAAGAAATCTCCGTTAACTTTTGTTGCTCATTGTTAAGAGACAAAACTATGTATTTTAATATCAGATGTCACCATAGAGAAAAATTAATGAAGGCTAAATAGAGAAGGTTTCAGAGAGAAGGATATTAAAGGACAGACATTTATTTATACACATTTGTGCTTTTATTAATTAGTTCAATAAATTATTTAAAATTTTATTGACAGTCCAGTCCACACCAGATGACATGTGCATAACTAGGAGGTCACCTTGAAGAAGGGGCCTCTGGCTCTAAGTAAGATGGCAGGAGAGGTAGTCCACATGGAGGAAAGGTCAAATACGAAGACATAGAGCTAAGGGGTGTGTGATACAAAATTGCACTATAGAGTTGGAGGTAGCTCAGTGTCCTTATTCATAGGCTTTCAGGAGAGAAATGTGTTGTGTTGCCAGAAACACAGGGAGACCTCAGGGAGTTTTGTGACCCAAACAAAAAAGGTGAGGCCAGGAGTGTTGATTGAAGTTTTAGCATGGTGAGGGCACTGGTAGGCCAGATATTTCTGGAGGTAGAAGTTAAGACTTGAGAGTTCGGTGGCAAGGAGAAATGAGGGTATCAAGATAGCAAAAGGTCTCTGAGCACAGACTTTGGACTCATACTCCTCTTTATCTCATAGGGGCTATGCTACTTGTTACTTATTACCTCAGGAATTTTTTTTTTTTCCCCTCTCTAGGGTTTGGTTTTTCTTGTCTGTTTGAAAGGGACATGAGTAGCCCCTAGCTCATCCAGTTAATTGTGAACATTAATATTAATGTATATAAAACATTTAGCCTGAGGCATAATGGAAATATATTAAGTGAAATAAAAGGAAAATCAAGAGTGTATTCCATGTGAGCAACACGTTTCTCCAACATAATGCCATTACTTGAAGTCCTCATGAATTTGACCTGCTCAGTCCTTCTCAAATAGGTTTTGATGGTATCCTCAGCAATGTCTAGAAAATTGAAGCTATGAGCAGCATCACGGTTTCCTTGCATGATTATCCCGGGGCCCATTACCTTCACTCTGTCTGCTAATCAGGTTAGGCATCTGACCCCCTCAGGAGAGGAGGCTGGCCAGCTGCCAGCATTAGATGAATGCTCCTGATGGCACATAATCAAATCTGATGGAGATGGGAGACTCTCAGAGTCAAGTAGCTGAACTTGGCTAGAATAGGATAAAAATAGGGGTGAGTTGATTTAAAGCATGGATTCTGACCAGAATATATTAGTAAACAGAGAGTTGAAAATATCAACACCTTAATCTGAGAGGCCTATGGCTATAGGAAATACCTGCACATGAAGAAAGGCTCACTCTGTTCTCCAGGAGACTCAGACTCAGACCTCACTGTCAGGGCTGGACGCCACTATCACAGGTCATTGACTGGAGACCTCGAGGTCGCTGTCACTGGGATTCTTCCTGAATATGAATCTGGAATCCTGAGATTTGCTTTTTCCACCAGGCTCACATTCCTGCATCTTCAGTCACATCACAAAGTAGGCCATGGACCCTTCTCCCTCTGCTCTCTCCCCTGCACTAATTTGTTCTTCTGTCTCTAATATTGGCTTTCCACTGCTCCCTTTTCTATCCAAGTCTTTCTGCTTTCTTCCCTTTTTCACTGAAACTAAGTTGCAAGATGAATATTCTCTTTGAACCTTCCGTCGTTTCATTCACTCTTTTCCTTGGCTACTTTTCTTAACCCAACTGCTGGTTATATGATAGTTATCAAACATTTTTTGAATAAAATAACGAGGAACTGCTCTTTTTCCTCCACTCCTTTGTACAGAAGGATCAAAATGGGATGACTTCCCTCCTCATTTCCCACACACCTTCCAGCTCATTTTTTCCTTTATCTTATCATTCCTAGTTCCAAAATTTCAACAAAGGAGGAATTAGAGTAGCAGTCTGGTTACCAGGGAGAAGTTATCTAGAAGGCTCATTTTAAAACTGTTGTTACTGGGCCCTCCCTGGTGGTGCAGCGTGTTAAAGCACAGCACTAAGAAGCTAAAGCCACTTCCTCATGAGTTTGACTCCGGCCTGCCCCGGAGGTGCTCCACATGGCACGGCAGACCTCTCTTGACCCGCCCGCTGCTCCCCTCAGCAGTGTACTTCATCGATCTGCCCTGTTCTGCTCCCTTCTATGTCTCTGGTGAATCCTCTCATCTTCCACATCTCTGGCCTGTACCCCAGTTCCCTATGAATAAATAAATAAATCTTTAAAAAGAAAATAACTGTTGTTACTTCTGTGACTTTTCCAGGGGTCTTTGGGAGAAGGAGACAAATAGGCTCCATTGTTGGCTAATCATAAACCTAGACAGCCTGCAACACTACCACTGACTACAAACTGCTGTATGCACAAGCATATGTGTCATATAACCGCCCCACCCCCCAAAGCCTTGCCTCTCATCCTAGATGCTTAGGCAGCCTTGAGATGACACTGTATCAGGGGGAAACAAACTAATCTGTAATCATCAATAACATGTCATAATGTTTTAGTAGTAGCTCTTAAATTTTCTCTAACTAGCCCAACCTGCAACTTTTTTTTTTTTTCCTGGACTTCATTACCTGCCCCTTCTCACACTTTTCTTCATATGCTCTAATACTCTTGGCTTCTCAGCTGAATGCTAGGGCTCTATAGCTAAGACTAATATCCTCCATACACTGTGCCAGAATCCTCCAGAAACATATTTGCCTTTAAGGGTCTTCTGAACCCATCTTAATGAATAAGACTTAGAAAGTCATCAATAAAAAATCTAAAGTTACTACAATATATTGGAGTTTGGCATTGTCAGTGGACAGTCATGGATAAGGCACAGTTTGAGATGGGTTTGGTAGGGCTAACAGGATTTGGCAAAATAGAACTAGGCATTCTCTGTAGGGAAATAATGAAAAGAATGTCTGTACCATAAAGCATGAGAGGGTGCAGTGAGCTCCTGACATAGATGTATGTAAAGAAGTTATGGGAACTTTGTCTGGAACATTCTGCCTTTTCTCATGTCTGTGTTTCAGTGCCCTTATTGGGGAATAAGCATGATGGCTTAGCAAAATTACCTACCCATCACATATATTTTAAAGATTTATTTTACTTATTAATGCATACAAGAGCAGGGGTGTAGGCCAGAGGTGTGGGGTTGAGAGGACTCACCAGAGACAGAGTGGGGGATAGAACAGGTGGATTGACTGAAATACACCACTGAGGGGAGCAGCGAGCAACACAAGAGAGTTCTGCTGCACCATCAGTTCCCTGATCAGGGATTGAACTCATGGTGTAGTGGCTACTTGCTAGTGCTGAGATTCAATCCCTTGCACCACCAGGGAGGCCCATCATATTTTAAAGCAGTTTTTCCTAAAGTGCTTTGATGGGAAATTTGTTTCATGAAAGGCTTTGTAGAAAAACAATTCTAATAACTTAAGGGAATGTTGAATATTTGTTCCTCTCAATTGAATACTCACAATGCATATTAGCTTATTTTTAAAAATCTAAATTAGCAGTGTAATACAAAAACTGACTTTCCTGGGTAAGACCTCCTCTATATATGTTATGCCATCACATTCTTCTCTCAAGGCACTTTAGAGTCTATAACTATATTGTCAATTTTTCATATTTTTATTGACTGCTGTTCCTTGAGAATTTACTCCATGAGGACATAGATCTTTACCATTACACATTAAAAACCTAGTACAATCCCTGGGAAAATAATAGGTGCTCAAAATAAGAGTAAATGATTTATAAAACTTGTACACTGTTGTTTAACTTTGCTTTGTCCAAACTGGATAGAAGGTAGGGTTGGAATTGGAGCAAAGTGCTACAGTTTTGGTCTTTCTTCAACAATAGATAGGATATATTGTTTCCCTTGCTACCACCTTGATTTAGATGTTACTGTTTTTCTCTTGGACATTTATTCCTCTTTATTACATTTTGAAGCTTGAATGGTTGTCTAATGCACCCAAATTTCTTTGTATCTTTCAGGCAACGGTTGCCACCTAAAAATGTTTACTACTATCGCTGCCCAGACCATAGGAAGAATTATGTGATGTCCTTTGCATTTTGTTTTGACCTAGAAGAAGATATTTACCAATTTGCTTACTGCTACCCATATACCTACACTCGCTTCCAGCATTATCTTGACAGCCTGCAGAAGAGAAATATGGATTACTTCTTCCGGGAGCAGCTGGGTCAGAGCGTGGTGAGTCCCATTCAGAATAGGCACCCTGGGGGGAGGAGCTTTGTTGTAAGTTTTGATAGACTGCATTGTTGGTTTGTATCCATTGTAGATTATGTGCTCTGACACTGGATCTCCTGCCTCCTTCTTTCACTGTTAAGGACTCTGGTGATTTTGTTGAGCTCACTCAGCTAACACAAGATAATATCTCAAGATCTTTCACTTTGTCGCATCTGTAAAATCCTTTTTGCCTCATAAGGTAACATACTCACAGGCTTAGAATATGGACACTTTGGGAAGATGTGCATTATTCTCCTACCATACTTTAGTCACCCTCTTCCTCTTCCCTTTCATTGTCAAACTCAGGATCTGAAGTTGTACTTAACATTAGCTGCAAAGGTTTTGTTCTCTGTGGTCAGAAATATTTTGGTTGCTAGTGAAGAATAAACAGGTGATATTTTATGTTTCACTTTTCAATAAGTTTGAATTGTGCCCCTAAAATAGGCACATTGAGCTGTCTTTAAAGGTCCTAAATGAGGATATTGATGGAATTTTCAGTGGATTCTACAGTTGGGTTTCTGCTAGGTATTGGTAAGAAAATGTACTCTATCCTAGTGACTATGGGTTCTGAATAGCAGTGAGTCCCTCTTCTAGACAAAAGTTTCAAGATTCAACTGTCTGAAATACAGAGTCTGGTCTGCAGACTGCCCCCCCCCAAAAAAAAAAAAAAGAAACATGAAGAGGGCCTGTATATGGCTTAAGCCAAATCTTGTCTTAAGTTAGTGGTCATGATGATATTCTGAGATCTGGCATGCACTAAGATTTTGGTAATTTTCTTTCCCTACTCCAACCTCTTCCTAATAGTAGTTTTGGTGGATACTATGTGTATATGGTACCTAAATATTTCTAACTAAAAATTGGGACACATGGTGTATCAGTTAGAATGCTAACAGGAAACAGATGGCAGTGTCTCATTAGGATAATTTGAGGAGAACTTAATAAATGGACTATTTACAAGGTGTGGGCAGTGTATAGGGGAACCACAGGGTATAAGACAGTTCCCTGGGGATCTTAATAGCTCAAAGGGTGTGAAGGGAAGGAATGTTTTAACAGAATTCAATAGTAAAGAGTCAGATAATGGCTCACCTCAAGTGGAACAGTGACCTTCATTGAGGAGCAAATTTAGCCTGAGATGACCCCATGGAGGGAAGAGCTGAAAAAATACACAGATTTCATTCTCTTATTCTCTTCTGTTTTTCTGCTAAGGATTCCTATTAACCCAAATAATAATGAGGGGGCAAGAAATTCCTCTAGTAACCCATACAGAAAAGCCTGTCTGGACAAAGAAGAAAATATAGAACTACAGAGAGTGGATATAGGGAAAAAAAAAAAAGAAGAGGAACATATTAAGTACATATCCTCTGATCAACAACATAATACTGTAAACAATGAGATTATTTCATATAGGACTTGCAGAGAAATTCTCAGATTGTTTTCCAGCCATATAAACTGTGATATTTAATTTAAAAAGTGACAATTTCATTTAATATCAAGTTTAAGGACAAAACTTGTGCATTTCTTTTCTGTGTTCGAGACTCAGAAAGCTTCTCTCAGATGAATGCCAGGCAGAAAATAGGTGAGCCTTGAATAACTGTTGAATGAATGATTGATTGATTGAATGAAAGAATGAATTAAGTTCTGAACAGAAGCAAGGTAAAGAGCTAAGAGCAACAGAAAACTGATAGGGATAATAGGTTAAGTTAATAACTAATATTCAAAATACATTTTAAAATAATAATGACTTGAACAAAATAGTTTGTTTTTCTTCCTCATAATAGTCTTGACATAGGCAATCCACAACTGATGTTGTAGTTGTGCTCTTTGAAAACTTTAGAGCATTGTGCTTCTTTGAGCTTTCTTCTCAGCTGTCTCTGGGACACAGCCTCTAATCTCATGATCCATTGTGGAAGTCCATCATCATAAGCACATTCCAGCAGATGAAGCCTATGAAAGAAAGTGGGGGGAGAAGGAGAAAATGTAGTTATGCGGCACTTTCATTTTTGATCCCATTTAATAAAACTAAGGTCCACATTTAACTTCAGGATGAGAAATAAGTCTTCATACTGTGTGATCACGTTTCCAGGAAAAATTTGCAATACTATAAGATATAGAGGTCAACCAAAAATCTCTGCCACAGGAAATCTGAGTTCTACTTCCACCTCTAATACCAAGCTACTTGTATGACTTTGAGTGTTAGTTCTCCTTGCTGGGGACAGGTTTTAAATGCAAAAAAAAAAAAAAGTGATAAAGCTGGACTTGAGTAGGGATTTTAAAATTATTCTTTGAAGAATTCCTCAGGCAGAAGAAAAATTATTTGAGGCCCTTGTCCTATTTCAGAACCTATGAAAGGCATGATGGGGATATATAACAAAGTTATGTATGTCTTAGTGTGTGTTTCTAGAAATTTATACCAGAGGAAATAATATATTCAAACATATTCATATTCTAATATCTTTAAAGTATAAAATTAAGGGTCTCATGTGTTGTTTGAAGAGCTAATGATCCGGTCTGTATACCAAAGAGATGGACTTTAAGCTGAATCATAAAAGATATGTATGCTTATTGAAAACAGAGTAGGATAGTAAGTAGTGCAATGAGCAGGAAGTAGCCTGACTTGTTGCACAACAGTAGTTGATTAGAAATCTAGTTTGATTAAAATCTAAAGGAAAATTGGAGTCCAACTATAAAAAGTGGTGATTATGATATTAAGAAATTGTAGCTATATTGATTATTCAGATTTAAAACACAGATGCTGGCTCAGGCACTTTAGATATACTATCATGCTTATTTTTCACAATGAATTTATGGAGTAGACAGAATTACCCCAATTGGGGGAATAAATACTCTAAAGCTTAAAGGGATAAATTACATGGCTCATTTCTGTCAGAACCAAAATGTAAACCCATGATTTCTAACACCATGTCTTTACTCTATAATGGACCTACTGATGCTTCTTCATTGAGGCCTACAGTAAGTTTTTGATAAAGGGGTTACCATATCCAAAGCAACATCTTTAGAAAGCGAAGTTAATGGAAGTGCGGGGTATACCTGTGCTGGCTAAACAAGATTAGGGTTACTCTGTGATTTACTTCAGTCTTCCTGTTCTGGATCTCGGAGCATACCAGAGACTTTAAGGCTTTCTGGCATCCTTTAGTAAACAGGACAGTTCTTGGTTACCAGGGCGTTTGATATGGTTCATTTCTGAAGGCACCACTATAATTAGTTAATCCTTATTCATTTGGAGGGAGGATAATTACAAGTGGGAAGGCTAAACATGCCAACATCAAGATCTTAAGGGTAGCAGGCAAGAAGAAAGGTTTTGAATTTCTAGTCCTGAAATTATTAATCACCATAGGCATAGCTGCCACTACTGCTAATTATATCATCGAAAATACATTTTATTTAGTTACTCACCAGTGGCCCCTTCTTACCAGACCAGACAGAATCCCTTTATGCATTCAACAAAGCCATGATCTGACATTTAAAATAAAACATCACAGGGAAGGTATTTTTCCTTGTTTTAACATTATTGAGGTATACTTTAAGTACCATAAATGCTACCTATTAAGGGTACCTATAAGGGTAGCATTTATGAAGAAGATTTTTACTAAATTTATAGAGTTTCACAACCCATTTTTTTAACATGACCATCAAATCTACAGTTCCCTTAGTAGGGGACTCACATCCCTGAGTAACTACTGATCTGCAATATGATACTGTAAATTTTTCATAGCTGGACATTCCATATATGCTATACCATGTCATCATCTCTGGCATCCAGCATCTTCCATTTAGCATTGTATTTTGATACTCATCTATGTTTTAGTATGTATCAGTAGTTTGCTTATTTTAAATGCTTCATCCATTTTGAGTGATAAATAATATTAAGTTGAAAGACCACATTTTGTCTCTTCTCCAGTTGATGGACATTTGAATTTTTTCCAGTGTGGAAGAATCTGAGTAATTCTACTATACCATTATGTACCTGTCATTGAAGAGCCAAATCATCACTTTATTCTGGGTGGATTTCTAGTAGAATCCTTGCACTGTATAGAAAGTTTATGTACAACTTGTAAAAACCTATCAAATTGTATTATAAACTAGTAGTGGCATTACTCATGCCTATTAATAATATAGTGGGGAGGATTATAGTTTCTTTACTCATTTCTTAACACTTGCAACCTTCTGTGTTTTTTAGTAAAGTCTTTTTTTATGTGTGAGTATATTGCAATATATCACCACAGTTTTAATATGTAATGCTCTAATGAATAATTCTGTTGAGTATTTCTGTCGATTTTTTTTTCAATTTGGGCTGTTTATATTCTTAGAATGAGTTTCAAAAATTCTTCACATGTTCTAGAAGCGACTTGTTTGTCAAATAGCCAACATACATATGCTGCTAGGTTGAGACTTCTCAGGTCTCCAGTAAGCCTGCACCTAGTCTCTGCCAGGAATATTCTTGCCCCACCTGAGCAATTATGGGCTCTCCTCATTTGACCACCTCAGTGACAGATGTTTCCATACACAATGCTGCTGGGTGTGGGGACTTCCCACTTACCAATTGAAACAAGCCTCTTTTGCCATGAAAGAAAGGTTGGCTGACCTCACAGTCTGGCCTGCTCAGACAGAACCATTCATTCATGAAGTTTAAGGGAAAATGGAGCAACTCTAGAACAGAACAACAAAGATCCTGATTACCTAATTTCAACAGTTTTTCAAGCATAATAGTTTTCAGATTGTTATATACCTTTGGCTTTCATATATTTGAAATGCTTGTTCATATCAATTTTGGTCAGGTATACATTTGTTTTAGATGATAGGAATTATCAATCCTATCATTCTACCATAACTGAAGTAGAGTTTAATTGACAAACATTAATTTCCTTATATAGGATTTGTACTGTGAGACATGTAAGGTTATTATCAAGTCATTGGACTTGAATATTTAATTATTTGAATATTTA